CACGTCCACTTTCAGATTACATACATATACATGCAACCGCGAGTACACAAGAGGAAGACACAGAGAGAGAAGAGGAGGAACTTGAACGCCGCTGTGGAAGATGTTGCCGAGGCCGATACCGTCCTTGAAGAAATTTGCGAGGAGAACCGGAGAAGAGAGAGTCTGATTTGGAGGAAGAGAGGAAGAAACTAAGAAAACAGAACGAAGAGGAGATGAAATGGGAGTAAATGGGATGGCTAGGGTTTTGTGTTTAAAAATCTTATAAAGAATTAAAGATCCAGAATCAATATAAATATATTACTAACTTCCTGATTTTGAGTATTTGTATATGATTTAAATAATTAAATATAAACCGGTTTGGTTTTTGGAACATCGAAATCAAACCAACCTATTTCAGTTCAGTTTTTTTCGGCTTCAGCTCGGTTTTTTAAACCCAACCCTACCCAAAATGACCCATACTCGAATTTTTATAACCTAGGATAGAGGGATTACCTGAATTTCAAGTGCATTGGAAATTAGCAGACCAAGCCATATCCCCCATAGACAGTATAGCAACTGCAGCACCAGATAAGTTTAAGTGCGTTGGAAATTAGCAGACCAAGCCATATCCCCCCATAGCCAGTACAGCAATTGTCTCTCCATATAAGGCTGTCTGGGGAATTGGCTTTGAGAAATTGATTGAATCCACAAGGTAGTACCTTGATCACAATAAACAGGAGATGTAGAATATGATCGCCTCCATTAAAAATTTAGAAAAACAATTGAGCTAGGTGACTGAGAGAGAAAAGGAAAGATTCCTAGTTAAATCGTCCCCAATCCAAGAGGATCTGAATAATGCAATGCATTCAGGTTATTTGCAGTGGAAAGAATCATAAGAACCATGAAGAGGAAAAACATGAAGAAACAACTACAAATAACCCACGACCAACATCTAAATAGGCCCCAGCAGAACCTATTTTTGCTAGGGTGGGTATGGGTCGAGTGGGGCACAAATTTGGAGGGATTGGACCAGAGCCGTTTTAAAATGCAACGAGACATTTTGGGCTAGGTATAAGATTTCTAAGATTTGGACTTTTATAATTTGCCATTTTCCCCTTTGACTATAATTTTAGCTGATTATCCCTAAACTTTTATAAATAGTCAATTTTCTTTTTGATGCTAGATTTTAAAATTTTTCATCCAATTTTTTATCCATTTTGATCATCAAACAACACATGACAATTGTATAGGGGCAAAAAAAATGGAAAATTGGATGACAAATTTAACATCCAACACTAGGGGATAAATAGGCTATTTATAAAATTTCAAAGGGTGATTGGCTAAAGTTAAAGTTTATATGGGAAATTGGCTAATTATAAAAGTTTAAACGGTTAATCAACTAATATTAAAGTTCCGGAAGAAATTGGCACCTCTATACAAGTTCAGAGGAGCAAATCGACAAATACCTCTTTTACTAAAGATTGGTTACAAAAACATTTTTACAAAAACACTTTCAATCATTTTAAAAACAGTTCTAAACGAGCCCTTAATCTAACCAAACAAGAGTGACACTATTAATAGCCTTAATCAACAATTAACAATTACTAATTATCCATTGCCAGTAGCAGAGAAACAGGAATACCATTAAGCTGTATTCACGCGCCAGTCTGTGATTGTTTTGCCTTAACCACCCGTCGTTTCTTTTTAGAGATAACCCGAATGATTAGGAATTAAGCTATATTACGTCCACCAAATCAGACGACGCTGTTTGTACCAAGAATGAAGAATCAAGCAAGCAAGCTCGCTCGTTCGAACCGATTCCATTGAAAGCACAAGTCCTTCGTATAAATAGCTGGCCAGAAAAGCTCTTATTCCAAACGCTAATAAAAATAAAAAAAAAAGCTGCTTTTCTAGAGAGAGAAACGGGAACACAAGAAAGAAGGTGAAGAACTAGAGAGAGAAGGGTAAGCATTAATGGCGGCAGAGAAGCAAGTGATGGTGATCGGGGCGGACGAGAGCGACCAGAGCCAGTACGCTCTGGAATGGACTTTGGACCACTACTTCAAGCCCTTCGGCGGCGACAAAGCTCCCTTCAAGCTCATCATCGTCCACGCCAAGGTCCAGGTTTCCACTGCCGTCGGCTTGGCCGGCCCGGGTAAGAATCTAACTGCGACATGAAGTGATTTTCACCACCTCTACAATGCAAAGTAGAGGAATAAACTGCTGCCGCGGAAAATAACAAATGTGCAGAAGTCGCTTTGTTTTCATTGTTTAGTTGATTATGATTAGCAAATTTGCATGTGTGCTAAAACTGCAGGAGCGGCGGAGATTCTGCCGATCGTGGAAGCTGATTTGAAGAAGAGTGCTGCCCACGTAACTGAGAAGGCCAAGGAATTTTGCGCCTCTAAATCGGTATTTAGATGGTTTCCATTCTATATGATGGTTTCAACACGAGATTCGTAATTCTTATGCTATCATAGAACACAGCGGAGCCAAATGATTGCACACCGATGTGATACGAAGAAATTGCCCTTCGCTAGCAGCTTTTCTGAGCACTACATATTCTAATGCTTGCAGGTGACCGATGTGGTTGTGGAGGTTGTGGAAGGAGATGCTAGGAACGTTCTGTGTGATGCTGTTGAAAGACACCACGCATCCATCTTGATTGTGGGAAGTCATGGCTATGGAGCCATCAAAAGGTATTCCCTCAAACTTAATCTAATCTTTTTGAGTTGAACGAACAACCATCACTAATTCGCACGATTAAGTTTGAGCCGAGCTTGAGGTTTTTCATGGAAAATGATGTTACTTATCCGTGGAAATCTTAATGTTGTATTTGATTCTGGTGCAGGGCCGTTCTGGGAAGCGTCAGCGATTACTGCGCTCATCACGCTCACAGCACCGTGATGATCGTGAAGAAGCCTAAAACCAAGCACTAAGCTTTCACTGGGTATTCAGTTAAGCACGACAAAAAGTCCGTCGTGCTTGAAAAATTACAATACACACATAATAAATTCGTCCTTTTGAGAATTGAATCTTGAAAGGTTATATGTATATATACTTTGTGCTTAGAGTTTGATCGTTCAAACTTCGGAAGTCTCGCATGTATTTATAGGTCGAAAGTTGAAGCCTTCAAACTTTTGTATGACAGTCGATCCGTGTATCAAAAATTTGATTGGTAAAGTTATGATATAAGTTATACTTTCATTGCTGTTTCTTAATCTCCGCGCTACCTACATAAGAATCAAGGTGTTAAAGTTTCAGAGAGACAGGTTGTGGTCCATCACTAATAGCATCGGTATTATGCCCATTTAATCATCTATGTAATCAAAAGGTGTGAGATTTTTATGCAAAGGTCTCAATGCATTTACAAGTGGAACTATTTGATATAATTAAGTCATGATTTGTTTTGTAAGATGGTTGATGTCAGACTTTTTGCTTTATTCTACACAAGGAACATAAAAACGCAAAAGGGTGTGATATCCACACATAATTTTTTACTTTTCACACACCTCTTGTTCATTTGATCTTCATATGTGGAAAGAAAAAAAGGTGTGTAGATAGCACACTCCAAATGCAAAATGAGAAAACGAGATTGTGAAGGAAAAAAAAAATAAATAAATAAAACTTTAACAAAAATCTCTCAGTACTGTTCACTTTAAAGAAAAATCATATTTGTACACTAAAAAAATTAATTCTGGTACTATTCACTTTATCCTTTATTTTGTCATTTTCATTCAAACTTAAAATTTTCAAATTTTTTTCATTAGTTTTCTTAAATAAAATTATATATATATATTCTTGGGCGATAAGAAAACATGTCAAATCGCATCGAGAACCAAAATTTTCAATCGAAAAATCACATAGGCCGCAAAATGATATGGGGCGGCGTTTGTGCAACAACAGACGACATCAAAAGGGTGTTGGAGTTGTTGGTTTGGGAGAAACCAGGGTGGATATATACGTCGTTGTTTATGGGAAAACGACTGCCAAATATTGTGTTACAAAACTCAAAAGGGTTGAAGATAAGAGTGAAAAAGGTACAATAGAATCAGTTATAAAAAAAAAATAATTAAATATAAAATTGACTGGACGAAACAAACAATAGGTCATGCACAAGCAATACCAAGGGATAACGATGGTCTGCCCTCCCACTTTCGGTGTCTTCCGTACTCTCTTGTTTGTGTGGTCACGGTTAAGCCACGTCAACATTTTATATTACTATTCATTTTTGTCTTATTATCTCTATAAAAATAATAATATAAAATGTTAATGTGTCTTAACCGTGACCACACAAAAAAGGAGGCCACGAGAGGGTAGACAATCCTTGTCCATACTAAAGGGATAAGTAAATTGAACACATGACCTCATGTGCAAAAGTAACTCAATACTTTAAATTAATTGAACCACAAATACTTTGCGATTGACTTTTTATTCTAGGTCCACGACCATTTTTTATTTTTTATTTTTTATTTTTTGAAGAAAATTCGATACTAGATTATTGGAAGAACTCATGTCAATACAAAGATTGAGAAAAACTGGAGCCCAAAGGCATTAGGTAGAAATTGAAGGCTTAGACTAGTCATACTACACATAAAAGTTTTGATCGTCATACTATAATAGTAACTTACTCTTTAATCCATGCTAAACTGACACAAAGAATCAGGACTCGGAAATTTAATCATCAACGAAGTATGTTACTTCCTCATCCCTCATAACCATTAGAAATGACCAACTTCTTGATATACAAGATGTTTTTATCATTTCTTATATTATACTAGCCAGCTTCTTAGATTAAGGTATCTATTGATAAAATCTTCTATTTTTTATCTTTAAATATAGACTCGAATTATTTTTATTCCAGCCGACGGTAAGACAGATATATTCCACCAACATATCCAACAGCGCCAGTGGTAATGTGTTATTTTAATTAATTATGATTAAGATGATCATTAGTGGGGTCTAGCCAATAATTAATTCCATATACTGTACCTACAATATAAGTAGGCACAGAAGATGAGCAAATTATTCATACCTAAATATTATTACGATTTAGAAGATAATTGCGATCGAAACAAAGCTGCAATGGCGAGTAACACTGTCGAGAACTCGAAGCAAGTAATGGTGGTTGCTATGGACGAGAGCGACCACAGCACGTACGCGCTCGAATGGACTCTCAGTCACTTCTTTATCCCCTATGCATCAAACCCTGTTTTCAAGCTCGTCGTCGTCCATGCCAAGCCCCCTCCTCCCGCCATGGCCCTTGTCGGACCTGGTATGTAGATATTCACATCTGTATATTAACTTACCAACTAGTTGGCGCTCCAGCTCTTTCTATATACGCATAAATATTAATTGGGTATAATGCAGCTATATATACTCAACTTAGTGAAATGTGTAGGAGGAGCTAAAGTTTTGCCAATTCTGGAGGCAGACTTACAGAAGATAGCCATGCGAGTTGCCGAGAAGGCGAAGAAAATTTGCGCCAGTAAACAGGTAATGATCCTCACGAAACGTACCTACATCTGGGATATCACAGAACCGGTTTCTCCAATTCTGCAGGGAAATGCTCAAAACATTCTCTTTGAGGCTAATATTTTTGTTTAATTTGATGTTTATGTAGGTGAATGATGTGGTGGTGGAGTTGGTGGCTGGGGATGCTCGAAACGTTCTCTGTGAGACTGTAGAAAAACACAAGGCATCCATCTTGGTTTCTGGAAGCCATGGCTATGGAGCTATCAAAAGGTAACTCCATTTTCTTGCTGCTTCTCTTCATGCAATGCAAATTTGCAGTCAGTAACGATCAATCGACTCTGGTTCTCTCCTTCTCTTGCAGGGCCGTCCTAGGCAGCGTAAGCGATTATTGCGCTCATCATGCTCACTGCACTGTGATGATTGTGAAGAGGCCGAAAATTAAAAACTAAAATCTGCCACTCTCCAAAACGTCTCTACTAAAGAGCAGTAGCTGCTGTGTCCGGCAGTCCGCCAGCAAATAATTTCAGGCATGGTTGCTGTTTTGATCCTTGGAAAGAATTGTTACTCGATGTAAAATATGTTATTGTCTATGAATCCCGAGCATCTACATTTAGAAGTTGTGCATTTATTGCATTTCACTACATCCACGATTCTAACAATTGAACGACTTAACACACAGACGCATTTGAAATCTCAATATAAATTTAGGATATTAATAAAATCTTACAACATGACATTGAAATAATACAATCTTATTGAAACGCAAACAACAATACAACAAAGAAGGTTTTGAAAACACAACAATTACAGCAGCAACAACTCTTGAAAAATTTGACAACATCGAAATAAAAACACATTCCTCGCTCCTCAGATCCTCGAGAGCGAAAACTTTATGGTGCTTCAGAGTATCTATCCCCCGAGATTTTTAACCGTTTAGATATTAGTACATGCCCTCATTAGAGAGCAATTTCCATCAAGAGTACAATGGCAGGTCGGTCCAAGCCCCAGAGACATGTCCATTTTCACAGACATAAGCTCGAACAACCGGCTCGCCATCTTCATGGTACCCGAAAACCCGCCTCAAGCAGAATGCAGAATGCAAATCCCAAGTGTCCTTGCAGGTGCAAAACGCGCAATTCAGATCAATCTTGCTGCGGTTCCCATCCTTGATCGTCCTCCACACTTGGGACCCCTTGAAATCCTTGAAAATCCCTCTGAAAAGCATGTAATTTCGCTTCTCTTCGATGTGCACGCAGCCGGGCCAATCACAAATGTACAAGCGATCGCCGCGGAACCTGCTGTGGAGAAGCTTGTTGCCCTGCTCACGGCTCAGATTCCAAACCCCAGAAGCCAAATGCGACCTCATCGGTCTGCAGACCTTCCTTTTCTTGCAAATCGAAAATTCGCTGCCCACTCGAACGGAGCCATTCTCGACGGAGACTTGATCCTCCGCCGCCTCCGTCGCCGCTGATTCTAATTGGGAATTATCTTGCTCTTGATCATGGGCTTCAGAATCGTTATAGACTGTATCGAAATAAAGATCATCGAACAGAGACCAAGAACAATCATTTCCAGATGAACCACCCTCCTGATTCGCGCCAATTTGGCTCGAGGACGCCTCGGTCTGAGGCTTGGCCGCCGGAGATACGCCGACCGGACTGGAGTCCAATCTCCGGTAATCCTCGTCGGGACCGAGCTCGCGCTCGAGCCCAAAGTCGGAGTTCTCGAAGAGGACGCCGGAGTGCAGGAGACCGGGGCAGCAGACAGCAAGCTTGTGAAGGGAGGCCCAGCCGCCGGGAGGCTCGGAGGAGCCGGCAAGGAGATCGGAAACGACGGAAGGAATGACCTTGTAGCACTTGGTCTTCCAGCAGACGTTTCGGATCATGGAGGAGAACTTGGTGCAGGAGCAGGCGAGCCGAGCCCAGTTCCGCGGGTCCTCCTCGAGCTTGAAGAGGATGTTCAGAATTACATCGTCGGAGAGCTTCGAGAGCAGGGTTCCGGCCATCGGAATTCAAACTTGTCTGAGAAATGATGGGACAAAAGGACGAAATTGACGTTGGATTTGGGTATTTTGGGGGATTTTGAGAGATGGTTAACGGAATTTCCGTTTGTTTGGTTCGATTTGTTTTTCAGTTTGTTTCCGGTGAATTGATTTGGGGAGAGAGAGATGGGGAAGTTTGCGATGAACAGTGTGTGTGAGAGTGGTTGGTTAAAGAGGATGGCCAGAGAGAGCGTGCGGGGCGATTTCTTTAGCCGTTGGAATTTGGCGGCGCTGAAATGGCTCTCTGGGGGACTATTTGATTTATATTATTTTGATAAGACGATACTTTGAATTACTTTAAATTGGAATTGTAGTGACTCGAACTTGGAGTACAAAGTTTAAGAAAAGCTCGTACATGGCAGTGTAATATTGAACCGAACTGTCATGCAACATTAGAGAATTTCTTCAAGAAAACAGACATATCTTGACAACAGAATGAATTAATTTTAGAACTGCACTACTATGACTAACTAACCTAAAAGAAATACGTGCAGTTTGATTCCTTTTCATTTGTTTGTTTGTTTGTTTTTTTGTTTATTTTTTTTAAATTAGAAAATTTGTTTATTTTGTGACCCCTCGAGAAAGGATAGAATTCAAAAGCAGGATATACGAGGTAAAGACGGAGTGGCCGTAATTGAAGATAAGATACGAGAAAATGGTTAAGGTGGAGAGTCTTAAAAAAAGCATAAAGTATTTGGAACTAACAAAAAACTCAATGCAAAACCAAGCACATGACGTTTTAAAATTATACAAACAATTCCACTTAGTAAGATAGGATTCTATTGTTATTTGTGACCGCACGAAATTCCTCATGAGTGTATGTGAGACTTAAAAATTGTATATTTCACTGTCATGTTGTCACACACACTTATTTTTGGGGGACACTTTACATCCTCATCACTTGTGAGCCTTTTGACCACACTTTATTAGGAGGAAACGTGTGGCTCTCCCCCACCCCACCCCCACTTTCTCATATGACATTCGAGGAATTGTGATGCTCTTATCCAAACTTGTTGAGAAAATCCATCATTTGGTAAAATAATAGTAGATTAACACTTCGTGTTTGATTCACTTGCCTCAAGTATAATAATTGAGTCATCTAGTTTTCATTGTGGCCATGTTTGATTCGTGGAATAAGATTGGTTAGTAATCCAACTCTCGTGTCTGATCACAAAGTAAGTTCATTAAAAAGAGAATTCTCATGTCCAATTAAGAAATAATTCTTTTGAAAATGAAGTACTTGTGTTTGATAAAATAAGTTTACAGGTAACGAAATTCGTGTGTCTAACTAGGATACAGTACTTTGCAAATGAAACTCTCGTAGCCAATCACAACATATATTTTAAAGAAAACTAATGGAAAGGGTTTGAAAACTTTTGAGTTTTAACGAAAATGACAAAAAGATGTAAATAAATAATATCATGATTAAGTTTTTAGAATAAAAATATGAATCTTCATTAAATTGAACAGTACTTGAGTTTTTCGTTAAAATTTCCTATATTTATTAGATTTTATTTCGTGATTAGAGATGAGAGTGGAATGCGGCTGCTTTTGGTCGCAAGTGGTATGCGGTGTTCGATGTAGGACATTTGAGTCCACAAATCTGAACGTTGTCGTTTTCCTCACTCTAGGCAAACTATTGAATGGCATAACCACCAATCGAAAAAGGCCAAAAAAATTTTAGCGTGTCCGAAACAAAAGACAGTACTCCATTTGTTATTATCCTATCTTCCGCAGATTGCACTGCCACCGCTAGTTTGCATCATGTGCATTTCATAACACCTTATTGCTACAACACGTGACATTCTCCCTTGCAACTAAACAAAGTTCATCGTCGCCCATCTAATTGATGCTTGCTAGTTGCTACGTCTCCAAAAAGAGAAATACTCATCCAATAGACAAGAAGTGGTGAATCTATCAAAATTCAAGAGTATCTCTCTAACACTTCCATATCACTTGACACAAAATAGTGCATCAAAATAGACAAAGTCGGGCACACGCGAGTCAGACCAGTTCACCAAGGCAGCGTGTCATCCCTCTTGCACCCAAATTCATATCACATATCCCCTAGTTTAGAATATCACATTGTCAAAAGAACATACGAGGGCCTTCAACATACACTTTTCCGTCGCTGGATGTTCATTCGAGTATATCATCAATCGCGTCAATGTTAAACAAACAAATGAACAATGAGACTTCAGCAAAAATGTAGTAAAGAATCTCAAATGCATTACAAGGTGCAAAGACGGTAAAACGCCAGTTTCGGTTAAACAATAGCCAACAATGTAACAGACAGTGATTTGAAAATGAATCTATCCATAAACTTACAAGTCTGCTAAATAAAAGGTGCCCGTATTACAGTCCCTTAACAAGGATTGTAAACCTTTCTCCGAGCGATAACTTCAGGTCAGGGATAACATCATATCACCTATCAAATAGAATTGCAATCAGAGTCTAAAACGAATTGTTGCACAAGTTCAACGTTCACAAAGCAATAGCAATTCGAGGAAAATGTGTCAAGAGAAGAAAAAGATGGTGCGACACTGATGACACTAACAAAAGTATAAATAATGCTCGAGAATGATACCGTGACAAACTCTTGCTCCTGCTCCTGCTCCGGATTGGACTCCTGCTGGCACTACGCTTCTTTGGACTTTTACTAAGGTGCTTCTTCGGGCTTTTACTTATGCGTTTCTGATTATGCCAACAAAACAAAATTATAAAGGGCCAAAGAGCCATAATCCATTTGCAGTTATCACACGAACCCAATGTCAAAACAAATCCAGAGAGGCCGTCATTAGTAAAGGAGAAATCAAATCAACTGCCAGCCAAACTTTATAAACATTAGACTTCACTTCATCCACTATCACAGTACAAAAATGTCATAAACAAACCTCAATAATATCTTAAATTAACCCCAGAATGCAAAAAACTACCGAAATGGGGCAAGTAACAAGATATTGAACTACTTTTTAAGTGAAACAATATTACAAAAATAAGACTTACTGAAGGCACTGGAGATTTGCTTCTTGATCTTGATCTGCAAAAGTTCCAGAAACAACCGAATTTAATAACCATGTTCCTATTACCAATTTGATCCAAGGTCCTTGATGCCTCTTCCATGTGAAGTTACCACATCCAATAAGGATAGAAGAAAAAATATTTAAACATTTAGCATACCAATAGAAGAAAAAATGAATGAAAGAATTGACGTAAACCCCACCAAAACAGATCACAAAATCAGAGGGAGAAATATTTGAAAAAAAAGAAAAATTTATAATTATTTATAAGACAACAGTGGGAAAGAAAAGGAGCATTCTTCCCTACTGTAACACAAGAATCCAGCATATCCAGATAGTGTGACCTATTAGCCTGGCAAAATGTTGGAGCATGAAACGAAAATCAAATTGTCTCTACTGCTCATTGACGATGACTTCCAAGTCCCAATGGCACTTAGTTCACAGATATCCAGCTTTACTAGTGCAATCCAAGACTTCCATTGATCCCAATCTAGCACCCATGGACATTCACAATGCCAAAAGCATTAGAACAGAGGCACCATGAACGTTTTGCAAAGATGCCTATCTAAATAACAGCATACCTCCATAGAAAAAGAGTTGTAAGCAATTGACCTTATCCAATCAAGATCCTAAAATCCAATCCCCAGTTCGCCGCATATATCCATATCTAAAAGAAAAACAAACGTAATTTTCATGCAAGCAAAAAGGGAAAAGAAAATAAAAACTAGTTGGATATCTGACTCTTTCTTGGCAACCCCAACTGCTGAGCAGGAAACAATGGAATTGACCAACACGAAAAGATTCCAGCACAAATGAGATAATTCATACTTTACAACTGCAAGAAGACATTTAATTCTACACATGTTGCAATAGTAATCTCCATCATTATTCACCACATGGACCCATGAAAACCCAGATCAAACGTAATCAACATACCAATAGGTAACTGACTATTTGAAAAAATAAAAATAACCCATACCCTGATGGAGAGCGAGATCGTGAACCGGGGAGAGAAGCAGATCTTGATCGAGATCTAGCAAGTGAGCGGCGTGAAGATTTGGTTTTTGGAGACTTGCTGCAATCATATGTAAAAGTCACAACATTAAATAGAAATGTTTATTCCCCACATCTACAGAGTTGTGGAATTGACAATGGTCAAACCTCCTGCTTCTGTCCCGGCTATAACTTGGACTACGACTGCGACTGTAGCTCCTGCCTTTTGAATGAGATCGACCGCGACTAGGGCTCCTAGATGAGTCCCTCTTCGCATCATATTCCCTCACCTGTGTAATAAAATGAGATAATAAACGAATTTAACAAAAAGTATAGAAGGTAAGGAGAGAGATTTTCAACTGTAAGATTCATACACGAACAGATTGGCGGTCAAAAGCATTCCGGAACTCAGAGCCATCAAGCTTTTTGATCTGCAGAAAACAAATTTATGAAGCTTGAGATTCTTACATAGATGCTTCAGAGACATCAACATACTAATATTTCACACCTAGAACTCATGCTTCGTAGAAGGTTAAAGAAACTATGTATGTCTGGAGTGAGAAAGTAAAAGGAACACTTACTGCATACTTCATATCTTCTAAGTTCGTGTAATCCACAATCCCAGTTGTGCCTACAAAAAAAAAAAAAAAACATAGGATAAAAGCTAAAACGATTGAAATATGAAGACCCATGAACCACTAAACAATATTAAAATGACACTATATGAAAGAGCAGAATATATCCCAAAAACAGTCTGAACATTGGTTGAGAAGCACTATGAACCACTGAGCAACTTTTATTGTACCACATATCATAAATTTTTCTAAGTCACCAACATGACAAAACCAGCCAAATCAACAAAAACTAGCAGGAAACGGTAGGAGAAAAACTGGAAATTCTATTAAGCTATGTAGGAACTCGAAAATGCTAATTCTAAGAGCATCTCCAATGGGATCTTGAAATGACCTCCTAGCCAAAATATAGGGAGAGAGCTGGAAACTTTCATCTCTAAAGAGTGAGAAAGGAGTTCATAGCATTAATTACGAATGTTTGAATAATATTTTACATGAAAACTTAATTCTTATTGGTTCACAATCATAATGACTCCATAAATTAGCAAGTATGCTAAGAGTATAAATTTTCTAGAGAGCTCCTAAAGTAACTTTTTAACTAAATTTTGAATTAAAAATGGAGATCATGATTGGAGATGCGCAAAAAAAATATCCAAGCAAATATCTGACACATGATACCAAAGGAATACCCTCGAATATGAAAAGCAACTTACCACTACCATCACGAAAAACTTGGGAGAAACAGACATCTCCTGCCCGTCGCATGTGATCCTAAATAAAATGCATCACATGTGTCAGATATGAATTGACAGTTACCACATCAAGGGAGAATTATAATGAAAAAAAAATCTTCATCTGATAAATACAATAGCACACCTTAAGATCTTGCCATGAAGCGGAAGGGGGAAGTTCACTGACTAACACTGTGGGCGGAGAAGGTTTAGAAACACATCAGATGCATCCTACCACATATAAAACAGCACAACGTATATCAAATGAAATACACACCACGATAATCTGAGCGCCTAGACATCCCACGTCCACCTCGACCACCACTATAGTTACTTTGACGATCTGAAGAAGATGAATGCCCACGCCCTCCATGTGCAAGTTCAACCTACAGAGATATACATCAGAATACTATGTCTAGGCAAAGTACCATGTCTACCATGAAAAGTAAGCATAATAGCCTACCCGTAAACGATGCCCATCAAAATCATAGCCATCACGACCACGGAGTGCATCTTCAGCATCACGAGAGTCTTCAAACTGTACCAAAGAACTTGTTCAAACACAGAAAAAATGAAACACATAACGTAAAGAAAGTAGCCAACGGATCTCACCTCAACAAATGCATAACCAGGAGGCCTTGGAGGGACCTTCAGGTCAATATGGGCTATGCGTCCATACTGTGGAGAAAATTAGAAATTTCAGTCAGTCTATTCATGGCTATTATTTTAAGTCCCATTATTTAGAAGCAAGTTTTTCGAAAGATAATATGATTGTTCACACCCGAGAAAGAGAATACGAAGGTTAAGTTTTGCGAGAGAAAAAAACACGTGCTTTTCCATTCCTAATCTCAAAATTCTATTCGTTTTTAAACAACATGAAACCCATCAATGTACAGTTCTACTTCTACACATACAAGTACAATCAAATGAATTCCAAACAACAGTTTCCCATCAAAAAACCGCGTAGCATTGCGTCCGCATATCAATTCAAACAACAAACTGAATTACCTTGAAAAACAAGTCTTCCACCTCTCTCTCGCGTATATCACCGGGCAGATTCCCAACATAGAGAGTTCTGCTTGTACTACGACTGCTCATTGTACTGCCAAAAAACAAACAAACCCGTTGAAAATTCGGAAACGAAAAACTCCAAAGTTGCATCTTCTGTAAACAAATTGAATTCCTCAAGGATCCTATTTTCTTAGATAAGGCATTCAATGGAAAATAAATTAAAAATTCAAATCACAGAAATTGTTTAATTTTATTGAGTTCAGTCAACGAGAATCCGAAAACGATAATCAAAATGCAAATTCACATTCGATTTAAATTCTATCATCCTACGGTTCTTGCGAAACGAAATCGAAAACAAAATGTATTACGATTTTAATTTCTATTACCTTCCGATGAAAATTGGGGATCGCAGCGAAGCAGAAAGGGGCCAAAAGGGCTGGAGTTTCAAGGGTTAGGGTTTTGAAATTGGAGAGAAGATTTGTGGGGCTGCCAGATATAATTATGGGTTCGGATAACCTGTTGCACTGAGTACGGCAGTATATACGACTCTGTTTTTGGTTTATTAGTTCAAACCGCCCGATCGTTAATCGGTTTTGCGAGAATTTGTATCTGGACCGTTGAATCTCACGCGGGACCAAAGAGTGCACACCGCACTTGCGGACGTGGTGTAACGAATCTGATTACGAACTGCAGTGACTTGTCCTCGTCGTACTCGTAGGTTTGTGTTTCGAACTCAAACTATTCAAAACCAACGATGATGTTGCAAATATGAACTTACTCCAGCTAGAATAATGAACAAACTGCCGTTTAATCTTTTGAACTGTTATACGAGTTAAAATCAACACCTTAAATATTTTTTTAGTAAATTAATCCGAACTATTTAAAATTAGCCAATTAATACTACACCATCAGATTTGATGAAATTTCATCTACTTTTCCGTCAAATTCTGGCACGACTTTATTCTCAAGAGTGAATCATATGTTGATTACGTGTCAGTATCTGGCGAAAAAAAACGGATAAAAGAACACGGAGCAGAGTCATACAAGAAGTAACAATCACCCCTTCAAATGTAAGAGAAATATAACAAAATCCTACTCATTCCCTTCGTTTTGGACAACAAATTCCTTATTCATTGCCCCACAAGAAGTGACAGAAAGGACAGAACATGGTAGATAGACATTCGATGTATGGAGAATTCGACATCTAAAAAACCGAAGCATAGCTTTCAAAACCACACGAAGCAATTCATAAATTTCAGCCTGTAGGAATACTTCCGGAAAGAGAGAAAAATAAACAAAGAATTTGAAAAGGAATCGGGTTTATATTCCAAGTCATATTAGTCTAGAAAGGGCAGAAACACCAGTTTAAGTCACCAAGCAAATGAATGTCGAATCTGCAGCTACTAAAAGTAAAACTAAATTGACCATAATCAAGTAAAAGACCAGTCTCGGCAAAGATACAGCGTTCGTTCTCCACACATTTATTACTCCTTCAGTTCAAAAGATGGTCGATTTCTGCTATGGATGCTGATGCTTATGAACCTCTCCACCCTCCTTGGCCCGTGCAGCTGCCCTTATTTTACGCTGCTCCTCCTTGTAAATTCGATTCCTTCGTTGAAACTGCGATAATAGATACGCAATAAATTATGATGCAAACAAGACAAAAAACTTCTCTCTTTAAGAGAGAGGTAAATATTATTGTAGTAAATGTTCTCCTAAGACGAACCACATTACCAAGTTGCAAAGTCTCATATTTGTTGTTCAGCAAGTTCCAAAAAGTTATGACATGATTATGTATGTTCATACCCTGAGGTGAATGGCTCATGCGTGCAGTGAAATAAAGCCATTTTACAAGTTTATTACCTTGACTTGGGAACCTAATCATGAGAGGGATGAGAAAGCCATCTTGATTCCAAAGTTTACAAATCAGGGAAAACACTAAATAGCTTCACCTCACCCGACACTATATGATGACAATCATGTACTTTTTGACATTTTCTTCTCACCTTTGCTGATGAGCAAAACTTTGTAGAAGATTGTCTTGTTTGAACTATACATTATATTGCCAATTGTGTTACCAATTATGTTGTCAATTTGTTATTATGTTTAACCTCCTATTCTTAAATGCTACAGATAGTGTATAAAGTCATAGAACTCAACATTTAACATAAGGTTGAACCATTTTGTACTCGATGAAATCTAAAAATATAATGTGATTACAATAACAAACGGAATCAGCCATACACAACACATAAGTAAACCCAAGCAACTCCTATGTTTCTATCTCCCAAATATTTGATACATTTAACTTCATCTTTTTTCTCTTGAATTTTAGGAGATACATAGAACTGTATAGTGCACTCGGATTCAAGATTATTCCCAAGCGGTTCTACAGTTATATGTTACTACAAGGTGGAGAATAGAAAAATAAAAAACAACCTGAAAATGCATATGCAAGTCCGGAGAAAATGGAATAGAAAATGGAGGTGGCAAACTCGTTACTCGTGCAATGTAAGACCATTGGCACTTGATTTCATCCTCAAGCTAATTCATGGGTTATGACACTAGCTAATTTCACCATCGTGAGGCCTTTTTTCATGTAGATAATCCAGAATATGTTTACATATGTTTCACGTAGATACTACATCACCAGGATATACTGTTGATTTGATATTAGGTTAACGATCAAACTATGGATCATATCATATGGGGGACATGGACTACAAACCACACAGAGGAAACTGGAAAGCTAAGGTCCCGTTTGATTACCATTTAGTTTTAGTTCTAAGTTTTACATTACCTCCACCTTTATTCAGTTTTCCTCTCTCCCACATACTATACTAACAACGAAATGGTTATCAAAAGGGCCACAAGTAGTCAATATTAAAGGCTCTAATTGAAGATGAGCCATCATTCTATTACATAAAAATCATCCATGAAAATAACTAGTCAATCTCCCGAATCCCAACCAAAAGAAAAACTCGTTTAGCTTTGCAATTTTGACCTATTCATCAGTTAAATCTTTAAATGCCTAACAACAACAATGTCGCATGAAATATTTTGAAAAGCTATTATGCACAATGCACAAGCAACGCCATGCTTCAGTTCTGCATACTACTTTCTCTGTTTCTAGGAACGATTCTAATTTTACTAGTCCCCTTCCTTTCGAACCAGAAAAAAGGTATAGTTTTCCTTAATCTTCAAAACAACTATCCCTCTCAATCTTCGCAGTAGCCATGCCACTCAGGACACAAACACTTCAATCGCAATGCAGACTTCGAAGATGAATGATATGTAATAAGCGAAACCATAATCATAAAACCAATTTTTCAGAAAACCCTAAATTAGCTATCCAATGAAGACTTGGAATGCAGCTGTTAATCAAATCCTATGGCTTTAAACACCACATTATCTACAGCAAGCTAGAAACCCGCATCGACGGATCATTAAATCAATTGAGGAAAACCAGAGCTAGATTCACAAATAATTAACCAACAATAATACAACCGATCTGAGTAACATTAGAAATGAGATTAGCAAAAGCTAATTAATTGGAAGAGAAATTGACCGACCTCTTTGGAGTGGTGGAGGCACTCGAGGTAGTCTTCGCGGAGGAGGACGCAGTCCTTGGGCTCACGGCAGCGAGACATGCACTCACTGAAGTCCACCCAGAAATCGTAGCACCGCCCTTTGTTGCCGGTGATTCCCCACCCCGATGCCATTTCTTTCTCTCGCGCGGCGGATGATCGAGTCGAATCAGTTGTATCGACGGTCCGTGGAGGTCAAGAGTTATCCGCGATTGCGGTGGTTGGTTCGCTCTAGCTGCTGACTGTGGGCGGTATCAACGGTGTTGGTCTATCATGTAAACCGATGAAATTTTCGCCTGTGAAAATAGTCCTTAAAAAATAAAGAAATAAATTAGTTATTCAGTTGATCACGTCCGTCGATCTCGTATTATTTGTGTAAATGGACGGTCAAAAATGAGTCATTTTTTTGTTTGTCGTACTGAAATTGAATTTTGTTTCCTAATTTTTTTAGTAATTTGCTTTGTAAAATAATTGCATTTTTTTTAGGTTTTCTTGTAATTTTATCAACTTTAAAAATGAAAAAAAAGGATAACCAGTGGCAATCCATGGTTATCCATCCCTTCCGGGGCCGGAAAGACTTAATAGGCATTTCAGCCTGACTACAAGTTTGACTTCCACATTTTTGTAGATTTATTTAGTTTTTTTTTCCTTTGCAATTTGTTCTGCAATATAACAATTGGGATCAAACTCATGAGAGGCGAACATAATCGTAATCAATTAGCATATAATCAACTGGCACATCCATGTCTACCTAAACTACTCTAATCATGTATAAGAAAGCATATTAAAAGATGCAAAGAAATGTCGAACTTAATGATGCGAAATTTATATGAAAATTTTGTGCAATTTGATACTTACTATATATAACAATTATCCCGACGGTCAAATTAATCATTCGAAGTTAATCTTCTATTAGTCTCATTTCATTACCAAATCAATGTGTCTTCCTCGTATTTAAGAGCTCGTCAAGAGTTTTTGTTGTCTCATCAGTACGATAGGTTGTGTTACACTTCACGTGTTACTTTGCTCGTGGCCTTTTATTCACTTTCATTTTATAATTACAAGGTTGTCGATATGGAGACAAATGCTTATTTTCTCACAATGAGAGTACCAACTACATCATCGAGCTCAACTTTATGCCGACCAAAAAGCCGTGAAGCCGAAGCTACACCACTTCTACAACACCGCCTAACATCTAAATAGAACTTAGACGGCACTAAGTGAAAAATTTCAAAAAATTGCGTCGATATAAAGTGACGTACAAATGACATAATCGAACACCTCTAAGCAGTTTTTGGTATGAACAAAACAAAAAAAAAAAACAGAAAAAAAAAAAAACCAATAAAGACGCAATATCTCAACTTCTCAAGGCTGGGCAAGTGATCGATAAGTGTAAAGGTGCGCCGCGTTGTAACTTCATATATTCCCGCGCGTGGGAACAGAATATCCTTCACCAGAAAAATAAAATAAAATCATAGAATATTCATTTATTTCAAAAAAAAAAAAAAAAAAAAAAAAAACGAGCTCCAAATTCTCTGAGAAAATGCTGAAACTCTAAGTAAGCTGCTGAAATTCTCATCCCAATGTCACACAAATCCCTAGATTCACGGCGCACTTTCCAGCTCCATGGATGGAGACCTTTCCACCTGCAGCAGCAGCAGCAGACCTCCACGCCCACCTCCAAAACCCTAGACTCCTCCGATCCCAAATCCAATGGCCTCCTCGTCCACACCAAGCGTCCCTGTTTATCCAATCGAACGACTTCATTTTCTGTCGACGCCATCGACATGTCCCGGCTGACCCTGGTCGACGACGACAGGACGATCTCCGGCGGACACCATAATGGGACCGGGAGCTTTCGGTTCATCGCTAAGAAGCGGCGGCGTCGCGGGTCGAGGTCGGTTTCGGGGAGGAGTAGTGATCGGAGTGGGACCCGTAGGTGCTGCTCGGTTGGGGCTTCGGCTGCGTACGGGACGTGTTCAGATTTTCCGGTGGCGGTGGGGACGGACTCGAGTGGGGAGCTGTTTGGGAATGGGGATGCGAATTGGGCGTCGGATGTGAGCGAGGCGAGGAATTCGAGGAAGGAGAGAGATGGAGGTGGGGGGAGTGGAGAGAAGGAGAATGTGGGTGCTGGGTTTGGTCCCGTTGGGGGTTTTGATATACAGGGGAATGAGTCCGGGTACGGCAGTGAACCGGGTTATCGCGGGGACGCGGAGTTCGGGTATGGCGATGAGTTTGATGAGGAGGAGGAGGATACTCGGGTATTGTTTTGGGGCGATCAGTTTGGAGGTACATTTTGTCTAAAAACTGTTTAATTTGAAGCACAATGAAGCATTTCAGATTAGCATATATGGATTTGAGTACATTTCACTTGTGCAGCAGCTACAGTTTCGTTATAGGGTTTCGGGAAAGTTTCCGGATTTGCGAATTTTGTATATATAGCTTGAGTTCTCTGCATTGTGTTCTAGTTTTGATATTCAAGTTTGCCTGGTAGATAGAATCTGAACATAGACACTCGCGGAAATAAAAGTTTAGGGTGAGGGATGAGGGGCGAATTTGAAGGCTTAGCTTGGTGGCTCGCTCTAACGCTCATTTAGTAAACTAGAGGGATCTTAGTTGGAACTTTGAACATAAATGGAGTAGCATCACCAGTGTTGCATTTGAATATGTTAGGCAGTAATCAGAATGGGCACACCATGAAGTTGTTTCGGCATTACAAGTTTATAGATTAAGATAAGTTTGGACAAGCAAGGACATAGCTTTATAGTCAGGATTAAGTGAATATGACCGACCCCGACTTTCCTTTTTGGACTTTGGTCGTAGTTTTATAACACTAGAGTAAAATGATCTATCAGTATGTTTGCTTGCACTTGTTTAGTCGCTGTATGCCAGTGTGATAAAGAACAATATTGTGATACCCTCGGGTAGATGTTCGTGTTCCACTCTTGCTTTATCAGCTTATCAACGTAGGCAAATAGATGGATATAATAAAATAGTAAAAGGAGGAGCAAAAGAAGAAGAATACCATCAAGTAGTTTGGGAAATTGTAGAATCTTCTAATTTGCTTAGCTCTTTTTCTTGTGTTTGTTTTTATGTATGTATTCATGAGATTCTAACCTTAGGTTTTCCAAATTGTTTGATTCAACTGGATATATATATATATGTATATTGATGCGTCCCTTGTTGCTTCAGATGCTGATTCTCCGATGGAGACAGTGGGGGAGAATACATTTGTGGATCAAAAGTCCCATCACAGATGTCGGCGGAAGAAACATGATTGCAGAATGGTTGATGCATTAAGGTAGCCGAACTGGTTGGCGCATACAAAAGGCTTCTACATATCCTTTTTCTCGGTAAACAAAGTTCCTTTATATCACTTAGTCATCGGGTTTCTATTCGGAAGGATGGATGTTGGCCCCCTGATGAAATCTGTGTATGCTGTAATCACTGCTGTCCCACTTGTCGGGTCCATTTAGAGAGTGAGAGGTTTTGGTATGTATACGCAAAAGAATTCGGATTCATGCCACAATGTTGCATTCTAAAATCGTGTGTGGAGGAGTATGAACGTGCATTATGCTATTGTGTGTTGTTCATTCTGCCACTGATTCGAATTTCTATCGACTTTTCGGTTTATGTGGAGTCCTTATCGGCATAAAATGTGGGACTTGCTTATGCCATTAGACTCGCAAACGTCTGAATGCATGATGAATTCACAGGTAGGTTTTTGGTCAGTCAGTAGGGTTTTCAAAGGTTGGGTACCAGCTTGAAATCGACCTTGTACTTGGAGCAAGTCCAGCCCGTGCAGAATGGACTGGCACCAAGTGAAGAAAATGGCCTGGCATGCAGTGAATTTGCTCCAGCCCGCAAAAGTGACTGGCACCCAGCCCGTGCCAGTCAAGAGCCCAGCCCAAAATGGACAGACCCAGAGGCCGGTCCGTTTCTTGGCGCGTGCACAACACGCGCTCCGTCTCGCGAGTAGCCGACCGGGTCTGCAGGCGGTGGGGCCCGCATGTCGCGCAAGTGGACTCAGCCCTCCTCAGAGCCGTTGGATTTCCAACGGTAAAAAAAATTTATATTTCACTTTTAAATTGGACCGTCTGATCACAGATCAACGGTCCACATGTTTTTCACCAAAAATAAAAAAAAAAAAAAAAAAAAAAAAAAAAGGCCCAACGGTCAGAAATTTGACCGTTGGCCACGTGGCAGCGTGTTGGCTGTTGGATTTGATTATTTTTCAAATCCAACGGTCCAGATTAATTACAACATTAAAATTTATTAAAAATTAATTAAAAATTGTCAAATTTTTTTTAAAAAATACAGAAAATTTTTAAAAAATTAAATTTTTTTTTTTCTATAAATACCTAACCCTCATCTTCCACCTTACACCACATTTCAATATTTTCTACACTTTCTACATTTGAATATTTTGTACACTTTAAGAGAAAAAAATGACTTCGTGGAAGCTCAGTGAAGATGTTACGTTGTGTGAATGTTGGGTTCGCACTACTCATGACCCGATTACGGGTAATGAGATGGATAAGCGAGAAATGTGGAGTAAAATTACGAAATCGTTTTGCGATGTACATGGAAAAGATGTCAGATCTAGTCAAGGTCTTCAAGGTCGTTGGAAAAAACTCAACGCATCCTTTACTTGTTGGAAAAACGCCCTCTCTCATGCTTCTGGTAATCTGCGTAGTGGGACAAGTTTAGCGGATGAGGTAACAATATTTTTATTTATTTATATGCATTCCACCCACATCAATATTTTAATTTATTTAATTTCTTATGTAATTTTTATGTAATATGCATTTCACGCCCATCAATATTTTATGTAATTTCTTATGTAATTTATATGCATTCCACGTCCATCAATATTTTAATTTATTTATTTGTGTTACACCCGTATTTTTTAATACTATCTTATCCCACATTTTTATAGACACTACAAGCACAAGCATTCTACAATGCAAAGAACCATAACAAATCATTCAACAAATGGGAATGTTGGCAAATTGTCAAAGATTGCCCTAAATACAAAATTGTGGCAACCGGTCCAGAAGTTGTCATGCACGGTATGGGTCTACACAGTTCGCCAGAAGCAGACACAGCCGAACGAGAAGCCAACACATTTGAAGACACCGAAGGGACGCCTGAACTAGTGCCAGAGACCCAACCGACTCGTCAGTCCCTCAGGCCTCAAGGTAAAAAGGCATCAAAGAAAAAAGGTAGTTCTTCCAAAAATGACTACAGTAAATATATGGAGGAACTTACTCGTCAAGGTGAACTGAACATGGCATGGGAAAAGGAACGAGATGAGGAAAAAGCTACTGCTATGGCAGCAATAATAGCAGCTACTGAGGCTCGTGATGCAGCGGCTGAGAGACAAAGAGAAATAGTTAATCGAGAGAACGAGATGATTAGAGAAGCACTTCATCGAGAGAATGAGATGCTTAGAGAAGAAAGCATGACTCAAACAGATCGTGACACTATGAACAAGTCTCTAGTAGGACTGTCTCCGAATTCAAAATATTTTTGGACATCAGAAAAAAGAGATGTCGTGCGAAGGAGGCGTGCAAGAGATGCCGAAACAAGTCAAGGGGGTTCCAGCTACAGAAATCCTAGCAACCAAGATCCTAGCACCACATATCCTAACTCCACAGACTTTGTATAATTTCGCATTTATTTGTACTACTTTATTTAATTTCTAATTTCGTATTTATTTTTAGAACTTTATTTAATTTCTTATGTAATTTCGTATTTATTTTTAGAACTTTATTTAATTTCTTATTTACTTTTAGAACTTTATTTAATTTCTTATGTAATTTTTGTACTTTATTTAAATATTTGAATAAGATTACATAAACTCACCAAATAAACATTTAAAAAAAAAACACCAAATAAAATTACATAACCTCACCATTTAAACTTAAAAAAAAAAACAAACACACTAAATAAGATTACTTAAAAAACAATACACTTTATTCTTCAACCACAAGCCTTATTTTAATTATCTTCGCCTTCGTGCAATCTCCACTGATGGTCAATCAAGTCATTCTGGCGGGCTATGTGCCAGTATGGCTCTTGCAATGAAGTGTATCGTTGAACGATCAATTCATTGTAACGTCCATCTCGTTCCAACGGCTCGTGTTGCACGGGATCTTCGGTCCGGTCATGAGCATAGTAGATTTGTGTTCTTGAGTTGTTCATCGGATCCAGCTCGTATTCATCGACGACATCATAATCATACTCATCTTCAACAATCATGTTGTGGAGAATAATACACGTCATCATGATGGATCGAAGAGCCTCGACATCAAACATTCTAGCTGCAGGCCTGACAATGGCCCAACGAGCTTGCAGGATACCAAAACAACGCTCGACATCCTTCCTACACCCTTTTTGACACTTTGCGAAGTGTTTATCTTTTTCACTCTGCGGGTGTGGCACTGTTTTGACAAATGTTGACCACCTTGGGTAAATACCATCTGCAAGGTAGTATGGTCCCTTGTATTTATTACCATTAACCCAATATGTGCATCTCGGCCCACGCCCTTGTAGCAGTTCGTCAAACACTGGAGATTGGGCAAGGACATTTAGGTCATTCTGAGCTCCTGGAACACCAAAAAAAGCATGTCAAATCCATGTATCAAAAGAAGCCACCGCTTCCAGAATGATGCTTTTGGCTCCTTTTCTGTCGCCATAAGCTCCTTGCCATGCACTTGGACAGTTTTTCCATGTCCAGTGCATGCAGTCGATGCTTCCAATCATGCCAAGGAAGCCTCGCATCTCACCCTTCCTCAGAAGCCTTCGCATGTCCCTTGTCGTGGGTTGCCGAAGGTACTCATTGGTGTAGAGGGATTCAATTGCAGAGCAAAACCGCATCAGGGACTCCAGAACTGTTGTTTTTCCCATCCTTGCGATCTCATCCACTTGATCTGCAGATGCTCCATATGCAAGCATTCGCAAGGCAGCCATAATTTTTTGCTCAGGAAGAAGACCTAGAACATGAAAAGCATCCTCTTTTTGCACAAAATATGGATCATGGTTGCAAACATCACTCATGATTTTAGCGAACAAACTTCGTTGCATTCTAAAACGACGTCTAAAAATATGATCACGGAAAACGTTGTTGGGAATAAAATAATCTTCCAAGAGATCTTTACCTCATCTTTCCCTTCTTCTATCGATGTTTGCCGCACGTCCGGGTTTGGCTATCTGACCCATAGCTTCCATGATACGGCGGGAATGTGAGGCCCTCCGCCTTCTATGGTGATCATCCTCATCCTCCTCCATTGCGAAGGCCTCATCTCCACCTCTACCTTGGTCAAGATTGACCAATTTTTCCTGTTGTGCCAACAACCTTTTCTGCTACTCTTGCAATTGTTTATACGCTATCCTTGAAGAAGACATTGTAAGAACTCAAGATTTGAAAACGATAAAGAAGAATTCTGAGCTAAAAAAAAAGATTGAGTTTAGTGTGAGGATGGATGTAGGGATGTAGGGTTTATATGGACAAAAAAGAAGAATATGAGGTTTTGGACAATGCCACGTGGTACTACGTGATTGGTTGAAAATCTTAGCGGAAATCTATTCAAAAAATAGTACGTTCGGATAATGACACGTGGCGTGACGAGATTGGTTAAAAATCTTATCGAAATCTTGCCTAAATTATTGTAAACAGGAAGTGACACGTGGGTTGTCGGGATTGGTTGAAAATCTTAGCGGAAATCTATTCAAAAAATAGTACGTTCGTATAATGACACGTGGGTTGTCGGGATTGGTTGAAAATCTTAGCGGAAATCTATTCAAAAAATAGTACGTTCGGATAATGACACGTGGCGTGACGAGATTGGTTAAAAATCTTATCGAAATCTTGCCTAAATTATTGTAAACAGGAAGTGACACGTGGGTTGTCGGGATTGGTTGAAAATCTTAGCGGAAATCTATTAAAAAAGTAGTATGTTCGGATAATGACACGTGGCGTAACGAGATTGGTTAAAAATCCTATCCGAAATTAAAACTATTTTTTTTTTATTTTATAAAAAAATTATTTAATATTTTAAATGGACTGGGTGCCAGCGCATTTTGTAGGGGTAGAGATCGTTTGTGCCAGCGCATTTTTTAGACTAGGTGCCAGCACATTTTTTTTGGAGTGGAGATACTTTGGCCTATTACTGTTCATTGGGTCTATTACTGTTCAATTAAGTGGATAAATGCGCTGGGTGCTGGCGCAAAGTGGATAGGGGTGGAGTTGCTCTTATATATTTCCACATAACCCAATAGACTATGGGGTCAATTCGTGAATATGAAGAAAATATGATGTCGTTTCTACTTCTGTATATGCACATGTGATTCGGGTCATTTTGTTCTAACTTTTTTCACCCTTCCTCTCAAAAATAAAGAAATAATTCTGCAAATTCTAAGAGTTGGTCAAGTGGAAAGCGAGCAAGGGTTTCAAACTCGCAATGCGAGTCGAAACTCTCACGGATGCATTTTTCGGAGTCATTAGCTTTGTTTTGGTGTACCCATTTAGTCCAAAAGCCAAATCTATCATACCACCTAATGTAGTTCCAAGAATCCACATAAAAAAGAA